AATTGAAATGTTTTTAATTAGTAGTTTCTGAGTACAAATTCTGGACATGTCTAAATTAATATAATTTTAAATTGTTCTGTGTTCCCCCAAATTAATACCAGTGAATGATTATAACATTTTAAGAATAAAAGTAATTTTGCCTGGTGTGGCACATGCCTGTAATTCTAGCAGCTCGGRAGGCTAAGACAGGAAGATTGAGAGTTCAAAGTCAGTCTCAGTAATTTAGCAAAACCCTAARCAACTCAACAAGACCCTGTCTCTTWAAAAAAGTGCTGGCATGTGGCTCAGTGGTTAAATGCTCCTAGGTTCAATCCTCAGTACCAAARAAGAGAAACAAAAGTAATTCTAATGTTTAAATTTCAAACACCAAACTGTGAATAAATGTTGCCTAATATGTTACTTCTGAAACAAACATTGGTTAGACTTTTGATGATTCCTCAAATTATCAAGCGAATGGTATACTGAGGTTGAACATTTTWAAACATTTCACTCATTTAAAAAGTTGGTGTTTATTTTATTATTATGTGGAATTACAAATTTTTTCAGACAACTTGGATTTTTTTGTTGAATGTAGTGTTCTAAAAACCAAGATTGGCATATGATCAAAATACTTGATAGGAAAATTTGAGTCAATACATTTTAATATTGTATAAAATAATTATTCCATAGATCTATCCAACTTAGAATAAGATATTTTGAAAATTAAGAATCCTCTGAGTTTCTAAACAAATCTGTAGTTAAGCTTAGAATCATAAGCCATGAGGTATTAAATTGTATAATTTCAGAGACACTAAAAAACACACTAGAAAAAAAAAAAGTGTGGATGAAGAGGATCTTAAAATGGAAATGTATTAAAACTAACTTTCCGCCCCATTCCCAAATCAGGTCCAGGTTATTCAATCTGAAATTCTTCAAAATGAATAGGGGAAATAAAAAGAATAATCAGTTTTCAGAAACACTTAAAGAAAACTRAGGAGGAGGTATATTTTTCAACTTATGGATGAGTACTCACTGGATATCAAAGACAAATGAAGGCATCAAGTCCTTCTAAAATCTTAGAACGTGAATCTTGCAGAAAATAAAAACAATAATACACCATGCTAGGTTTAWGGCAGAAATTAATGTTTCATCAATCATTTGAAAATCAAAATGTTGTTATCTATATTGAGAAATTAAGAAATAAAATGTATGTGACATKTTAATRAATACAGAATAATGACAAGTTCCAWTATRCATTAATGACAAAAATTTTGACGAAACTATTAAATGGAATCTTTTTGTATTTGTAGCATGGATGTTTCTTGCTATGCCATTCAGAGCCACAGAAGGCCTTCTCATGGCTRCAAAGGCTTATTAAGCTATGTAGCCATCTACTACCCACTTCTGTGTTCAGTAAGATTCTCAGACAGAGGCTATGTGACACTCATCATTGCTTTCTATGTTGGAGGAAYTCCATATGCTAGTATGCACACAGTAGCCACTTTCAGACTGTCTTTGTGTGGATCAATGAGATCAGACACATTTTCTGTGATATTCCTCATCTYCTTGCTATTTCTTATTTTATTTTATTTTCTACCAGGAAGTGGACCCAGAAGCGCATAATCATTAAGCCATATCCCCAGTCCTTTTTGCATTTTATTTAGAGAAGTGGTCTCACTGAGTTGCTTAGGCCCTTKCCAAGTTGYTGAGGTTGACTTTCAACTTGTTATCCTCCTGCTTCAACCTCCTGAGCCACTGGGATTAGAGATATGTGTCACCATGCACGGCCATTGGACTTAACATGAATTCTTCATTCTTAATATTGTTAACTATAGGCACAATGTTTTGCCGCACATCTCTGGAATTTGCTTATCTTGCAAAATTGAGCCTTTATGCCTATTTATTACCTGGTATCTTCCAACTCTCATTCCTTTGCAACCATCGTTTCACTTTCTGAATCTTTGAGGTTTGCGGGTATTYCATGTAAATGGTCATGAAGTACTGATCATTCTATGGTTGATTTATTGAGAATAATGTTCTCCAGGTTCACCCACGTTATCAAACAAAGCAGTGATACCTCCAATTATCAGTGACGAGTTCTGCACCCTCATGTGTTGAAGCATAGCCTTAGAGAAACACACCAAGGCAAGCATATAAAGCAGGTTTTATTTAAAATGGGATAACATAGACTACTCCTAGGAGGGAGAAGGAGGTCATAGGTGGTATCCTGGTATCCCAAGAAGCTAGGTGTTCTGCCTTTTTATGTATTAGTCTTCCTTCATTCTTTTGCCCTCTCCCCCTTATCTTTCTGCTTCCTGCCTAGTGACTAGGCCCAGGAATGTTCCATGGGATGGCCAAAAGGTGGGAAACTGGTGGGCTGAAGGTGGAAGGGCAGGATGGAGCAGCCCAGGACACAGTCATTAACAACTTTATAGTTCCCTGTRGGGAGGGGTAATTCCTGGGACTGGTTACCTTAGCAACAGGTAGACCAGAGCCAGGTTCTTGATAAGAGTGGAGGAAGGGCTCTGAAGGAATTTTAATCACTGAGGGGGAAGTCTCCAACTTTCCAGATTCACTCAAATTGGCCTCCTTGATCCCACCTGACTTGATTTACCTATACTGACTGCCTGTCTAATTTTGGCTTCMTCAGTATAGAAATGTTTAAGGTTGTAGGATATTCCATTGTTTGTATACACCACATTTTATTTATCTATTCATCTATCAGTGAATATTTATGTTGTTTACACACCTTTGCTGTTTCAAATAATGCTGCAATGAACATGAGAGAACTAATGCTCAGATACTTAGGCAGAAAATTGAAAGTTAAATTTGCAGAATTTTATACTGAGGAGAGAAAGAGACAGAGRGASAAAGAACRTAAGTCAAAGGTAAATAACATTGCCCCTGACAATTAGTGGACAATCTCCAGGCATTTCATTAAGCATTCAAATGTTATAGTGGTAATAAATAAATTGCTTGGCATTTCCTCAGGGAGCTTCTCTAAAGTTGAAACAATGCATAAATTATCCTTGAAAATGCCAAGTTATGGAATACATGGGAGAATCACAAAAGAGGCTACGTTATAGGTAACAGGTAGGTTTTATGAGTTCACAGWATGATAACAGTCTCTACAGAAATTATCTCATTTGCTAAGGCTATTAAATCCAATCCATATCTGATTAGCTTCTATGTTTCTACTACTCCATAATGC